TGAAATATTAAAAATATTGAGATAGTAAGTTCTGCCAACTTACGAGCTCGTTTTGTATCTTGTTGAGCTGATCAATGGCCTTTTCCACATTCGCTTTCTTTCCGGTAACAGTAATGCGCTCTTCACCAGAATCGCCCTGTAAATAGCTTACTATTCATATTTTTTTAGATGACACAGCAAACTGCGCTGTTTCGATTTGGATGGCGATATGATGGCGTAAAATGTGGATACAAAGGGATCATGTTTTCGCCATTAACAAGTCTCTTTTTGGGATGCGCACACTCTCCACTTTCATTTGTAATCGGGGTGGCCCACTGAATGCGATGTGGCTTATACAATGGCTTGCAGAGCCAGCCAATGAACAAGTCAGTGTCCTTATCTCTCCAGACGAGTCCGGCACCAAATTATCGCCTCCTGGTGAGGAGGATTGAAGGTCGTCGGGAGCCAGTCGGGGATTTGATCCCTGAACTGGTTCTGATGAACGTGCCACTTGGCATTAAACCACGTCCGCCTAACAAAGTGAAACAATACATCCGCGTAACTTGAGAAGCCACTGTAGTGTTGTAACTCCAGCAACTTCCAGTATTTACAATTCTTTAGCAATCAAAACCTTCCCCATTCTTACCTTTTCTACCACCACGCGTAAGAAACAACAACTTTAGCTCTACGGTGCGAGACCTGAATGGCAAACAATGCCATACCTCCGGTAAATCGATGCGGGTTTGAGTTTCTTCTCGAATTTTCCTGATGGTGGCTCCACCTTTACCGATGATATGTTTATGGAACTCCTTGAATATCGGAACGGTCTGCTGATAGTTGCTCTCGATCTGAAATTTACGTACTTATCCGTCATGTAAAATACTTCCAAATGGAATATTTGCTGTACAGGTAACCAACCAATTCCTTTGCAATCATCTGCAGCTGCTTGTACACTTTGTCAACCTCGGCCTTATCGCCACGAATATTAATGACGTCAGACTTCTTGTTCACATCAGGAAATGAAAGAACCTGAAAGGACAAAACATCTCTCTCAGAACAGAAAATAAAAAAATGAAGTGGAACAATTCCATAACAAACTCACGACGTTAGGATGAGCGTCACGGATCTTTCCAATATTCTCGCCCTTGGTTCCTATAATTAGTTTGTGCAGACGCTGTTCAATGATGATATCCCTGGATTTCTCGTTTTCCTGAAGGGCAAAAATGCATTACGAGCAAATTAACGGCCTGTGAAGTTTAGTGACACACTCACTATTTTAGATACGACTGCGCGAATATCTTCCACAGCTTTCTTCACACCTTCTTTCTTACCCTCAACGACGATTTCGTCTGAGTTGGTCTGCTCGTTGGGAATGGAAATCTGGACGCCAGTCTCATCCTTGATTTTTGAAACTGGAAAGGAACTGTATGTCTCAAGGCGAAAAAAAATTGTGAGGATTATGGAGCAAAAGTGGTGCTATCGTTCTCAACCAAATAACAGGTATTTTAGTCGCTTGTCTGGTCTGCAAACACGTGTTCGTTTCCCGACTAATACAGTTGACGGAGTTGTCATCTCAGCACAACCCCCTCCCCCTGCACCTTGACCACCGCCTCAGGCTCGACCCCTTCAACTGTAACCCGCTTCTTACCTACGTTTCACCACCACACCAAAAAAAACGTCGATTAGAAGTGTACCGAAGTGCTGAAGTATCCACCTACTCAGAACGGTGGAAAGCACTGCCCTTCCATATGAACTGAAAACAGTAGGCCATTACATTCCCGTTTTGAGCATTTCTCAAAGTAATCCGGTTTTAGGCTGTGTGCTGTTTTTCTCCGAAAAGTTCGATGGTTCACTGAGATGAGAAATGGGCAAAAAAAATGGTAAAGTGGTTCATCAGCTGCTAGAATGATGGCAATGTGCAACCTTCTCCTTTCCTCCAACGCAGAAACACGACTGTGCGGCTCACCAGTCTAGCTTCCTTCACGCGTAAACAAAGGCCTGTAAGGCAGCAAGCCTTTTGTAGTCAGTCTTATTGTCTATGTTTGCCTGGGTTGCATGTACACTCTATTTCCTGTTAGGCCGCGTTCATAGCTTGCGACCATGAAGAAATGCAGAAATGCGGAAAATGCAGAAGTGCGGAAAGTGCAGAAGTGCGGAATCTGCAGAAAAGCAATAGATACGTATCGACTTGAAGAAATGCAGAAATGCCGAAACTGCAGACGTGCGGAAAGTGCAGAAATGACGAAAATACATACGTATCGATTTGAAGAAATGCAGAAATGCCGAAAGTGAAGAAATGCGGAATGTGCAGAAATGCCGAAAGTGAAGAAGTGCCGACAGTGCGGAATGTGCAGAAAAGCAATGGATACTTATCGACTTGAAGAAATGCAGAAATGCCGAAAGTGAAGAAGTGCCGAATCTGCAGAAATGCCGAAAGTGTGGAAAATCGATACGTATCCGGTTCTTTTCTGCACATTCCGCACTGTCGGCATTTCTGCAGATTCGAATTCGTCATTTTCGGCATTCTTCGCAGATTCCGCGCACTTCTTCACTTTCGGCATTTCTGCAGATTCCGCACTTCTTCACTTTCGGCATTTCTGCATTTCTTCAAATCGATACGTATGTAATGCTTTTCGTCATTTCTGCACTTTCCGCACGTCTGCAGTTTCGGCATTTCTGCATTTCTTCAAGTCGATACGTATCTATTGCTTTTCTGCAGATTCCGCACTTCTGCATTTTCCGCATTTCTGCATTTCTTCACGAACGCAAGCTATGAACGCGGCCTTAAAAGGCATATGGCACGATAATTCGGTACTCGGTCTGGAGTGATAGTGGGGAAATGGCGAAAAACGAAGTGAAACTGTCAAAAACCTGCGAAGAAAAGGCCTTTGTTCCTAATGACTCAGAAAGTATTTCTGATGAGTTTCCTTATGCATCGTGACAACGACCGCTACGGTAGATACGGCTGCAGGTATGTACAGCACCACGGCCGCTTCATATTTTACTTCGCAAATGAAGCAATACGATTGTCACGTACGGTCGTCCATTTGTGAACAGGCGGGAGGGCGCAGGGGCCGCCGTTATTTGCAGCACAGGAAGTTCCGAATCCCTGGGGCTATTCGCCTGCAGCTGCATGTGGTATTTTTTGCTTACCACTGCTTTTCGCTATTTTCCCCAGTATTGCATTGCGCCTTCGCTCTCATTAGTGCAGGTTAGTGCTAACATTTAAGTTTTCGCTATCGATGGCGCACGCTATGTGCAGACAAATGAATAAAATGCTCTACTTTATGGCTTCGAGAGCATATTCAGCAGTTTTGCTATACATCTTGTCGTACGAAGTTCCACACAGCCAGACGTGACGAATGGAACACATTATCGCAGTAAAAGGCAGTACTTAAGTGTCTGCAAGTAAAGAACTCACTCAGTGTGCCACCTCTGCCGATAACATGCCTATGCAGACTTGGGTGCACTTTTACTTTTTCGATGGCCATTTCTGCTTCGAGACGAGCAACTTCAGCCGAAAGAACGTTGAAAGCGGCCTGAAAGTTCCTTTCGGTATTGTTTATATGAACACTCGATAATGTTTGAATGATGATGGCTGATGAGCAGCAATGTGAGCGATTACCCTGGTCCATAGTACGTAACGAAACGGGTTGGGAGCCTCACCTTGACTTCTTCCGGGGCCCCTTCCAGGAAAATGGTGCCAGAATCTTCAAAGTCGATTTGAACTTTTCCACGGTTAGGGATCCGGCTAGGGCGTACTAGTACCTCCTTATCGTGAGCGTGACTATCCAAAAGAGCATTTCCTGCAGCGTCAGCCTTCATCCCCAAGCGTCCGCAGTGAACTAGAGTGTAAGCAGTTCCAGCGGAAGCTTATGATTATGCGTTGGATTGAAAACTTTGACTCGAGTCCACGCTATTTCAGAGCCCATGCTAATCACAGCGCAGTTTGCCAATAAGGGAGGCAGTGGCCGAGCGACAAGTCGTGCGCGTTCAGCCGAGATGCTATGGCATTAACACATTCATTGGAAAGAACTAGAGCTCACCTCTCTATCCGAGACAGACTTGATGTAAGCAACTGCCTTTTCGATTCCTTCACGAGGTCCAACAATTTTGATGGTTTGCGACGGTGTATCTCTACTAGGGATGGTGATGCGACAGTTCGTGTCAGCTTCCAGTTGACGCAAAGCAGTACCTTCTTTGCCTGAAACACCACCGAGTATAACCCTCCACAATGACTGGCTTAGGGACGTACTAGTACACTCCTTATCCCTGAGACGGAGTAGGCGTGGCATTCGAACACGGCACATAACGGGTTATATTCAGTTTCAGACAACTGCATACTTGTTCTGTGTTGGTCAGAGACACGATCACAGTGTTATAATATCTCCGAAAA